TTTTGATTGTACGTTGCGTGTTTCCTTTTCACTGTCCTACCCTTCTGGTCATCAGTGTTTGCCTTATAAAATACATGTCACAGCTCTGGTATGGGTTTCCTCCTGCTTTCCTCAAGCTTGTCCTTCATCTATCTCTGTTTTTCAAACTTGGCAACGTTAATATTGTGTGGACTGAAACTCCCAACATTCCCAGGTGGAGGAATTCTGGGAGTTGAAGTGCATACATCTCAAAGTTGCCAAGTTTGTGGAACACTGATCTAGACCAAGTTCAGTCATGGAGCTCCTTTCTCTTAGCCTAGCCATTCAACTTGGCAGGTTTGTCACAAGGGTAATTACAAAGTGTGGTGTGATTGTATGGCTGGAAAGAATGTTGTTTGCAATCCGTAGGACCCAGGACTGCACGTATTCCTTAAATATTCATTACTGAGTCCTCAAGATGCCCCTCTGTCTTTGCCAGAAAGAGTGGTTCATTTTCTCCTATTCTGATGCAAAACAACAACAATACGTAAGCACCTTAACTGGGCTAAGCATAGTTGAAAAGAAAGAGGAAAAAAAGTCAAACTTCTTGCAACAAAAGGAACTCTTTCAAGCTTCCTTTGTATGGTGTCTCTTCCTGGTGGCCCTCAACTCCTCCTTAATTGAGTAATATCACCATTCTTGAGGAACACTTACTTGACTTCTAGGAAAAAATACGAAATGACATTGATGATGATAATGCTATTAAACACATTTTAGAACAGAGGTCTTCAAACTTCGCAGCTTTAAGACTTGTGGACTTCAACTCCCAGAATTCTCCAGCCAGCTATGCTTCGGGGAGTTGAAGTCCACAAGTCTTAAAGCTGCCAAGTTTGAAGACCTCTGTTTTAGAAGGTTGAAGCATATATGAAATGTTTGTATCTCTATTTGCCATTATGCATGAATATTTTTTCTCCCATGTGCATTCATACCTCTGCAGAATGAAAGGTGGGCCTTTCCTGGTATTCCTTAGTGATGGGCTAAGACACTCCAATTTTGAAATTCTTTGCTTATCAGATTAAAAATAAAATAAAATAATATGCAGCAGATAAAAAGCTAACTCCTAAAGAACTGATCTAGGGTAGAACCTTTTTCTTCTGGGTGTGACTCAGGGCATTAGCTACCTTTCTTTAATATAGATTTATTTCTATGTGTGTTTGTGGGGAGCATCCCAAGATCATAACTCCCCCTCCTCTTATTCCACACCTCAGAGGATGATTTGAAGCTTTTCCATTTAGTACCAGTATCCCCAAATGAAACAAGAGTTGTATTTTGAGTGAGTTAGCATCAAGTGGGAGAAATTTTTAAGAAGATTCCATCGTAGATGTATGTTTGAGAGATAAATACAGGAAATGAAACATGAGGAAAAGCCTAGAGCCTGGAATGTTTTATTTTCTTTCTTAAACTCCTGACGCTGATAAACAATCATTTTAAGCTCAGAATATTTTGGGTCCGGAACCCTCAAATCAAAGTTATTGTTATGATCAAAGATCAGCCATTGCCCAGAAGGATCAACTTTGGAAGTTTCTCCAACACAACTGATTGTCCCATGCTGCCATCTATCAACAAAGTGTACACCTGCAGTTTGGTAGATGCACCTAAAACATGGACCTTTTTTTAGTTTATGGACTAAGTGGCTGCTCATATCCAAATTGTTTGTACCCAAAAGGCAGAAGAAAGAAGCAAACCACAAGTCTAGAGGAGATAACCAGGAAAAAAAACCACATTGTTTGTGGGGCTGTTCCTTTTTGTCCACAATGATGCTTCTTCCAAATGAATGGCTAATGGGCAGCAATGTTCATTTCCATCTGAACAGATGGGCATTGATCCACATAAGTCAAGGTCTCCTTCAAGCTAAAACAGGTCTGGATGTGACATAGTACTTGTCACTGGGGGATGGAGCAAGGCTCTGAGAGGATAGCCCCACATTCAAAGTTGATCCAGTCCCTTGATATATGGCGAATGAAAATTCAATGCCCTATTTCTCTTTTATCATGGCTTGCAGTGCTGCTGCCCCATTCCCCAAAGCTTGGAAGGTGGAAACTCAATTCAGTGTTCAAGGAAGAAGGGATTAGAAAATAGTAGGAGAAAATGTCCTAACAGGTCAGTTTGATAATGGAACCAGTTATCAAAGGAAGTGGTGGGCTCCTCATTTCTGGGTGTATTCTAGCAAAGGTTAAATATAAAATTATCAGGAATGCTTTAATTTAGATTATTGCATTGGACAGGGTAGTGGACAAGATGGCCTGAAGGGCTCCTTCAGATTCTTGGATCCTAAGATTCAAATTCTCAGTGTCTTCCTGGTCCTAACCCAACTCCTTCCCTACTACACTACCTTGTTGCTGAGACTGAGAAGAAGGACTGGCCTAAATTCCCCCAGGAAGCTTTTGGAACTAAAAGAGGATTAGAACTGGGATCTCAAAACCTTCACCACCTCACCACACTGACACAAATTTATTTGCACTTCACCAAGTTTCCAGGTTTTGACTTAGGAGGAGGTCTTCACCACTGCTTGCTAACTTAGGGTTTGGGCTCAGCTAACCCAACTTTCCTTCCCTACCTGTTTTATACAAGAGAGAATCACGGAATGATACTATTGTAAGAGGCCATTGAGTCCAACCACCTGCTCAGTGCAGGAATCTCAAATCAAGCATCCCACAAAGATGGTTATCCATCTTCTGTCTGAATCCATTCAATAAAGGGAAGTCTGTCCCAGGTCTGGGGAAATGGTTTCCTTATCAAAGAGGTCTTACATTTCCCCTCCTAGCATTTAATTAGGTCTTCCTTCCTGGAACTTCAGGATTGGCATTCCAAATTCTGTGCTCCTGTATGATAGAAAAGAGGTTGAAGCTAATCATAATAATTATCATTGAAGTAATTTATCTATGGAAAATCCCTTCAATCCTAGCATTAAGGCAAACCATGTCCAGTTCCTTAGCTCCTGATCTTTAACAGATTTAACAGATTAAAGGGGACTTTATAGATAATCTAGTCCAACCCCCCCCCCCCCCGCTCAAACAGGAGACCCTATACCATTTCTGACTAGCCATGCCCAGTTCCTGTAACCATTCTTCATATGTTTTAGTCTCCTGTCCCCTAATCATCCTGGTTGCTCTCCTCTGCACTCTTTCTAGAGTCTCAACATCATTTTTATAGTGTGGTGACCAAATCTGGATCCAGTACTCTAGGTGTGGTCTTACTAGGGCTTTATAGAGTGGTATTATCTTCTCTATGTCCGTTCCAGCTTTTCAGTATCTTTCAAAAAACCCAGTGTCCAAGAATACGAGTATAGAATGTAGACAGGATGTAATTACGTATAAAGATATTCTCATTATGGAGGGAGGTATATTAAAATTAAAATCTGTGAATGTGTTGAAAGAGGAGAAAATAATTCAAACATGGTTTCAATATGTACAATTACAAGCCAGATGGAGAAAAGACCAGAAAACTGGTGTTATACAAAGTGATGAAAATTTAATTAAACAAATTAGAGATCAAAGCCCAATGCATATAAAAAGATTGTATAATATACTGATAGAGATGGACTCGGAAACAGAGCTAGTTAAGGACTGTATGATAAAATGGGCGCAGAATTTTGAACAGCCAATAATGATGGAAACGTGGGAGAAAATATGGGTAACAAATGTGAAATTTACCAAAGCGCAAAATTTAAGGGAGAACTTTTATAAAATGTTTTACAGATGGCATCTAGATCCAAAAAAGTTATCTCGTATGTATCCGAATGTACAACCAAAATGTTGGAGATGTAATTGTGAGGATGCTACTTATTTTCACATTTGGTGGACATGTAAAAAGGTTAAAGCGTTTTGGATTAAAATCTGGTGGATTTTACAAAATATTCTTAAAAAGAGGTTGAAATTTACACCACAGCTGTTTCTTTTGGGTATAGTTACGGATTGTACAGTTATAGAGACTAAATTGATTTTGAATTTAATAACTGCAGCAAGACTGTTGGTGGCACAATATTGGAAGAAGCAAGATTTACCTACAATCCAAGAGTGGACAATGAAAGTTATAAATCTAGCGGAAATGGCAAAAATCTCGGCGTACCTGAAGGATCATTCAAATGAAAGATATTTAAGAGACTGGAGAAGGTGGATAGATTATATTCAAAATAAATATCGGAATAAGAAATTGCAGATAGGTTATGAATGATTATATAGATATTTAGTGTGTCTTTAAGTAATAAAGCTAGGCGGGTAATTAGGGAATTGAAGAAACAAGAGATGTGAAATATCATAATTGTTTAGATTAGGATTGATTATGATTGTTGAAGTTTATACCCTGTAATTTGTTCTGGGAAGGGGAGGGGGGAGGGGGGAGGTTGAGCTAGGGAAGGGGGGGGGGAATATGTAAACTTTTTGTAAAACTTTTCAATAAATTAAAAAAAAAAAAAACCCAGTGTCCAGAATTGTCAAGTGTCAAGTACTCAAGATGGGAGCCAACAGATGCCGAATAAAGTACAGCTAATATAGCTTATAATTTGGAAAACATATTTTTTATTACTACAGTCTAAAACTGAAATGTTTTTTGCAGCCAGATTACATTGGTGATTTATATTCAACCCTCGTTGTAACAAACATTCTATTTGTGCATAACTAGTGTCCAGCTGTAACTGTGGGTTTAGCTTCTTTCTCCAAGTGAAGAAGCTTGCATTTGTGTCTCTCAGGTTTCATTCTGCTGTTTCCAGGACATTTCCCTAACCTCTTTAGATCATTTGGAGTTTTGTTTTTGTCTTTTCCGATTATGAGTTGGGATCCCCAGAGGATCATGAGAAACCTTGAGGGCAGAATCACATTTTTTATCAGGCTTGGCGCAGTTTGAGTGGGAACACTGGCCTAACTCACTCCAAGATTTGATTCTCAGACAAGTTGTGATACCAGAAAGTCCTGTTTTCACATGACACAATAACTCTTGGGGGTTCTGGCTTGGGCTAATCTATATTCTCCTTTTTGTTCTTGCAGATTTATCCTGGTCTTCAGCTGTCTGATTTTATCTGTGTTTTCAACTATTCCTGAGCATCATACATTTGCCAATGAGTATCTCTTCATCCTGGTAAGGGAGACCTCCTTCTTTCTTCAGCAACCTTCTGGGGTTTTCTTCCTATATTGTTTGGTTAAAGCCAGACTGAGTCATTTGAGGTTCCACATGTTCTGAGAAACCAGCCATTGTCTTAGCCTCTTGGTTGAATGGTGGTTTTTTTGGGCATTGCATGGGAAGTGACTCACATGCATTTTGCTTTAGTAACTGAGCTTTACAGTTACCAACTTCTCTGTAGGTAAGTATAGGGAGATGTTCTGACCTAGGCTTCCTGAGACAGTAAAAAGCACACAATTAGTCCCCAAAACCCTCTTTTTATTTCAACGGCTGTGAATTATGTTCATTCAGAGCCCGTAATGAGTCACAATTAGTTTGTAAAGAGTCTGACAGAAGTCTGCCACAGTCCTTCTGGATATCCTTTATCTCTCTTGACACACTGCCAAAGACCTAATTGGCAATTACCTTTGCAAGGTCACGCGGAGCACATAGTCAAAACGGAGCTTCAGAATTTAAACCGACCAGAATGAATAAAGTTGCTTCCTGCAAAGGCTCATGTGCTTTTGCTTCTCCTTTATGTCTTATGGGAGGGGCCAATCATTTCCAAGCCCTACTCCTGAATCATCCTTTTTGTTTTAACTGTTCTTGCCTTATGGCAGCTCTGCGCATGCATGCACTGGGAACAGGCTCCTGCTGTTCTTCTGCCTCGCTGATGTTCAACTCTGGAGCAGGGGTGAAATGCTCCCGGATCGGACTGGATCGACCAGTCTGGTAGCGATCTTGGCCATTGGTTCGGCGAAGCTCTGCCCACCCGCCCGGGTGTCATTACTTCCTGGTTTTATCCAGGAAGTAATGTACTTTTTACCTTCTATGCATGCGCAGAAGGTCTGCGCACGCAATTGATGTGTGCATGGGGCACGTGCGCTTCCAAACCGGTAAGGAAAGTAAGTAGATTTCACCCCTGCTCTGGAGGCTCTGGAGGTAGCACATAACTCCCAGATGGCCCTGGTTGCTTCTCTGCCTCTGATGCAGAGCCCTCATCGAAGCCTTCCCCAGCCTCCAGGACTGGCCCACGTTCCTCTCCAACCTCCTCACTGTCAAAGCGTGAATCAGCTCCATTCCCCCCCTGGGGAAACTGTAATTAATTAGAGGTGTATGAATCTTGTTTTCCATGGAGTATACTCTCAAAGAAAGAAAACCCGAAGTATATATTCTAAGAAACATTTTATTATAAAAGTACAAAACTAGCTAACTACATCTTACCGGCAGTTTTATCACACAGACGGACAAAGGAAGAACCAGGAAGTTAGAAAAGAAAGAATGTGGACATGCGCAGTAGCTCAGACATCACAAGACAGTCTTATCTCTTTTGATAAGGTTCTCTGGCAGTCTACCGTAATGCTCAGAATGGAAGCTCAGCTGGCAAACAAATAATGCAGTGACAACCCCTTCTTTGTCAGTTGAGCAGACATCAGGTATAGCCATCAGATAAGGCACATCTTCTTACGCAGATACTTGTGCTGAGCTGCTGGAAGTGGTTTGTTGAGCCTATCAGCAATCTGATCATGTGTAGGCACATACTGCAATTTTACAAAACCTTGTTTCACTAATTGTTTTATATTTTTGTAACGGATGTCAATGTGTCTGGACCTAGAACTCGTGAAATGTGATTCAGAAATATAAACCACAGATTCATTGTCTTCCATCATGGTGATTGGTCGGCTCGGGGGTGCCCAGATATCTGTGACCAAAGCATCAAACCACATTAGAGAATTACATGCATCTGAAACACAAGCATATTCAACCTCAGTAGATGAACAAGAAACAAAATTCTGTTTTCGCACATGCCAGTAAACAGGACATCCATTTAAGAACATCATATAACCTGAAGTACTTTTACGTGATTTCTTATCACTCGCCCAATCAGAATCTGCATAACAACATAATTCTGCATAATCAATATGTGTCGGTTCTAACAATAACCTCATATGTTTAGTGTGTTTTAAGTATTTCAATAATTTCTTAACACATGTCCAATGAAACTGTTTTGCCTTACCTACATGTCGAGACAAGAGATTAACACTAAGTGCAATGTCGAGTCTAGTCCAACTACTAATATACAACAGTGACCCAATAACTGAACGATAAAGTGTTTGATCCTCGAACTTAGGACTTGGTTCATGTGCCAAGTTGTGAAAATCTGTTTGCATGGGTATGCGTCCTGTATTAGCATCTTTCATGTTGCAATGATGCAAAATTTCTTCAAATTTTGGCAAACAAATAACACAGTGACACTCACTGTCCGACTCTGCTGCCAGCTCCACAGGCTGCCGGTGGACCACAACAGGAGAGAAATTCTTACAGTCATTGTTTTTCATTGCTACGAGAGGGGGTGAGGTGGGGCAAGTTGGTGAAGAACGTTTGCCAGGATTCCAAGACCGCATGGTCTTTGCAGTTGTTGTAAGCTCTCTTTCCACAAATACAGCCAAGCTGGAATCACATCATCCAGGAAAGTTTGGTCACTAAATTGGCTTAATTTTCCTGGTTCGTTCAATGCACTGAACCTGAAGGAACCAAACCAGCAGTGTTTGAACGTTTCTGTAAACTACTACTGTGAACTACTAAGAAACTGGCCAAGATGAACTGTAACCAAGCTTAACATGTCATACAAATGGTACTGTTATGTTTTGGCCTGACTTTTTTGAGCATGTTGTCTGAAGATGCTCTGGCTCTGATTGCTGGTGTGTTCCAGCTATAGAATACAAAGATTACAATTCTGGTGCCTTAACTACCAGACCTACCAGAGTAGTAGATGTTACTACCGGTTCACAAGATCTGGACTGAACCAGTAGCAATCCACCACTGAACTGTAGCAAAAAAGGTTGTAAAATGGGGCAAACTCATTTAACAAATCTTTCACTTAGCAACATAAATGTTGGGCTCAATTGCGGTCGTAACACAAGGACTACCTGTATCCTGTATCTTTCTTGGGTTTTGGAGCCTGACAACAGCTTCGGATTAACATGCCTGCCCACCAGATATAGCTCGCAGACTGGTTGTTTGGAGGCAGGATCCTGTGTCTTCCTTCCCCATGAGATTTTGATGGGCCTGCAGCTCCTACAGAAACAGATTGAATGGGTTCTTTGCAGTGGTGAAATCCAATTTTTTTTACTACTGGTTTTGTGGGCATGGCTTGGTGAGAGTGGCTTGGTGGGTGTGGCAGGGGAAAGATACTGCAAAATCTCCATTCCCTCCATACTCTGGGGCCAGCCAGAGGTGGTATTTGCTGATTCTCCAAACTGCTCAAAATTTCCACTACCGGTTCTCCAGAACCTGTCAGAACCTGCTGGATTTCAGCCCTGGTTCTTTGCCCTAGAAGTACTTCACACCCATTGATCCATAGCTTCCTGTGCAGCAGGAATAAGATCTGCAGAGATTCACTCTTTTCTCTTCCAACTGTTGGCAATCCAGACATGTGTCTGGTCTCTCATTTTGGAATATTTTGGGAGAGAAGATGACATCTGGTGTGGCTCCATGATCCTGGTTTGATAATAAGCTCAACTGTAATGGAATGTGCACCTGGAGAAGCCCTGGGCAGAGGGTGGTGGCAACATAGAGGTTTCCCAGAAAGAGACCCAGATCAAGAGATTGCACAATCCTGAGTAGATGGGGGAGGAGGGAAGAGATTCAGGGTAGCCACACATTAATATCTCTCAAGTTATATGTAAGTAACAGGTTAAAAGGTTATAACTTCAGTTTGGCAAGATTCTGTCCATTAGCTGTAAGTAAATAAAGGACTGAACCAGAGGTGAGTTTCACTTACCTTGCGTGCGTACGCACGCTCACTTCACTCACTCGTGTACCACTTCTGCACATACGCAGATCGTATTTTTTAATGATTTTTTTTATTTTAAAAACAAACAAACATACAATACATAATCAATCATTCAGTATATCATCTAGGTACATCTTTTGTGGTTTCTTCTTCTTACTCCTCTGACCTTCATCATTTCTTAATATTTTCCATTTATTTGTTATAACATTCTCCCCATATTATTCATTTATTATAATATTCTCCCCATATTTCTTACTTACTATTAATACATTTATCTATCCAATCTATACACAGATCATATTTGGGTAGGTGGGTGGAACCTCCCACTGCCACTGCTACCGGTTTGCCCGAACTGGGGCAAACTGGTAGCAATCCACCATCGGACTGAACTTGATTGGATCTCTCTGTCCCACAGAGTCCTATCTGTATGCTTGGGCCTAATACCAATTGAATTAACTCTATACATGATAGGTATTTATATTTATTTTGTGGGCTTTAAGGTAAAGGTAAAGGTTTCCCTCGCACATATGTGCTAGTCGTTCCCGACTCTAGGGGGCAGTGCTTATCTCCGTTTCACAGCCGAAGACCCAGCGCTGTCCGAAGACGTCTCTGTGGCCATGTGGCTGGCATGAATAAATGCCAAAGGTGCACGGAACGCTGTTACCTTCCCACCAAAGGTGGTTCCTATTTTTCTATGTGCATTTTTTTACGTGCTTTCGAACTGCTAGGTTGGCAGAAGTTGGGACAAGGAACGGGAGCTCGCCCCGTTACACAGCACTAGGGATTCGAACTGCTGACCTTTCAATTGACAAGCTCAGCACTTTTTCTTAATTAATGGGTTTGTTTTTGGTGGTTTGCTCAGTTCATATAGTCCAGTTTTTCTCAAATTCAGCTGCTTTAAAATCAGTGGCGGGTTGCTACTGGTTCACCCCGGATCATGCGAACTGGAAGCGGTGGCAGTGGGAGGCTCTGCACACCCACCTGGACATCTCTGCGTATGTGCAGAAGCCACACACATGTGCAGAAGTGTTGCGCACGTGTGCAGAAGCATTGAGCATGTATGCGCCCACGAGCGAACAGGTAGTGGCCGAAATTGAAACTCACTACTGTTTAAAATGTATGGATCCCAGAATTCCCCAGCCAGCAAATTCACAATTTTAAAGTCACTGAGGTTGAGGAACAC